CCGCCCCCCGCCCCCCGTCCTATCATACATGCCAGGAAATCATACAATAATTATATAAGTTGTAAAGCTAGAAAATAACTATGATGTTGCTATATATATAAATACATGTAAGACTAAGTATAAGATTTTTCTGAATTTTCTCACTACATTTGTAGAGATTTTTAGTATAAATTCACTTGACCTCACGTATTCAAGAAGAATTATTTACTATAATTAGCCTTCGGTTACAAGCTAACCGAGGGGATATGGGATCCAGTGCCAATATTGGATCATACGTACTATCATTATTACTTATGAGACCTATATATTAATACATGTGTATATATATAGGCATACGTACACCATGGCCAGTGCATGATGGACAATCGGTTTAAAATCAAATCGATAATTGGTTTGAAATCAAAAGTAGTAAACTGATCGATGAACGATTGTATAATTTGCATGGTTTTCAATTTAATGGGACTGAATTACGAATTAATACTCCAGACAGTTTTGTAAATCTTATAGTAAAAGTCGCGCATAACAATATTTGACTTACAATGTATGCTTCACATATTTGTATACCTGGTACATATAATATGTATAAAAATGTGTAAAGTATATGACATTTTTTCTAAATACAAAGCTTCTGCCTGTGTTTCTGTGTTTGTATTTCTTATTTTGGTGTAATTGCGCATATATGTTGATCACCTATACAAATCATAATGTAGATTAATACTGAAGCCTTGATAATTAACAGATATCACTAATTATCTATTGTTCACGTTTCACACCTAAAGGTAGTTCACGTCCCCACAGGTAAATCTACCCGCGGGGCAGAGTTTGTTTGAAAGGGGAGAGAGGTTTTATATATAATTATCAATTTGAGTGAACTAGCTTGATCGATGGTCCAGTCATATTTGTGTCACTATATATATACCTCTCGGTGAGAAACAGTAAAATGCATGCGTAACTATACCGTTACACTAAAACATTCTGGTAATATATACACCGTACTGCATATGACACTTGGAATTCAATCATGAACTTAATTAAATCGATAAATGCAATTTGGGGGCATTCAATTACAATAGATCATCAGCCCTTAAGTAGCATACACTATTTTAAGGGAAGCATGTGCATAATATGACATGACTCTTGTGGGTCCCCCTTTCAGAATCAGATTTTTTTCTTTTTTGTCTTGTTTATATTAGAGGACATTATTCATTAAGATTCCAGAGTTATCTTTAATTTAACCCATTGTGCAGCAATTAATTCTGATTGACTTATTTTTTCTTTGATCCTTAATAACGTCAGCTGGTAGAGTGTTATGCTACCAATACATCGGTTAGTACAGAGACGTATATACTGGCTTTATATGTCTCTCATGGTTAGTACAAAACATTTCATTGATATGTTGCACTTAAATTAAAGTGGCTATGCCCACTTGTATAAAACCTCTCAACTCTTGAGAGATCAGAGCACAGACTTAGATAACATTCTGTGATCAGAGACATACAAATGTATTTAAGCATATACGTTTCTGACTAAATATAGTCTTTCCTACCCCACTTAAATTACTGACAATATAAAAGTGATCCATACCCTACTATATTGAAAATTGTCAATATAGACTAGTAGGCTAGGGAAGACTATTTTATATTTCTACATATTTAAATACCAGATACAAATGCCTATATATACAGTAAAAAAAAATGTCTGACAATTATTCAGTCCATCTTTTTAAATTTTCATCACAAGGACAAGAATATGATATGTATGAGCAAGTATTATTAATTAGAATAGTAATGAGTCACAGTGTCATTTATAACTGTACTAGACTTGCACAAGCCCTTTCTGGTATATCCGGCTCCTGTGACAAATCAGTATATACTGGCCTAAATCGGTCAAAATAGGCTTAGTATTGAGCGTGTATTAAACGTGGTAAAATTAATGACCATAACAAAGTATGTATAACGGTACAAACTGACGCCAATAAGACCGTTGCTACATAAATATAATACTATACATTACATGTTCTACGTTTCGTTTTACCTCCATGTTCTTCTTGGGTTGTGCTCGAGGCATTGGCTTACATAGATCCCTGCTTTCACATTGGCACGGTAGGGCAGAGCTAGTTCCAAATGTTACTTCAGAAAAGCAGCAACAAATCAGTAAACATATCGCTTGTAAACGACCCATATTAAGTCCAGGTAGATCTAATAGCACACCTGTATCTCCTCGCTAACTAAAAATCATTATTTCGCCATGACAGGTGAAAATTATGTGACGTCATAAATACTTCCGGTTTAACAAGTTTGTGTGTTAATTTCTAGATACAACTTCTACTATCAGTCATTATTGTATAACTACGCGATTCAACTCGTTGTAAACTTGTTTTTTTTGTGTGTTCTCGTATTTTTTGACTGGCATCTAGATTTCATATGAATGAACCTATTTGAGCAAAATTTTGGTGCGGATTATCTCCCCTACACCAAGAATATCTGTGCAATTCAGATTTCGTCGCACGGTCGACTGTTTGGAAGAATATAGCGCGTGATATATTTGTCCTATTGGTACGCGAGGATCAAACAAGGACGAGTAATTCGTGCGATTTGGTATTGACAAATGAGATTGGAGCAGGATACGGGTGGTTTTTATTATATCATTCAAGCTTTGGACGTAGACGGAACGTAAAAGTTTTAAATTTAAATCGAATTTAAATTTATTTCATATGGAATGTTATCTTCTTCTTCTTCTTCCTTCTTGGGTCTGGACTTGGTCCGCCCAAGTACGGGAGTAGACTCCTTTAACAGGAGTGTAAAACGTCCCGGAACTGTGCGCTATGTACAATTTGGAATGGACTAATTAATATTTTATATATCAAAATAAGGTATTCTCATATAATATGCGTCAATAACATAATAAAATAAAAACATTGAAGATTAACAACATTTTAACATATTTTGTACAGTGGCCTTATGGTTTAGTATTGTGATTTGACCCCTTCAAATGTTAAAGTGGAGATGCCACTTTTGAAGGATTCAAGGGAAGAAGTCATACTAACAGATTCTGGTAAGGTATTCCAGTCTGTTATTGTTTTGGGATAGAAAGAATTTTTATAAAAATCTTTCGAAGTAGAAATTTGTTTAAACTTGTGTATACCTCTAGTGCGACTGTCTGATTTAAACAAAATGTCTTTAGGCACTTCGACCAACCCCAAATTAAATGTATAAAGTGTAACAAGTCTGGCTTTAGTTCTTCTGTTTTGTAAACTGTCCCATTTTAAGGATTTTATCATATTAGTAACTGCACCAGTGGTACGATCTGTATAATCATTATACACATATCTAGCTGCCTTCCGCTGAATCTGCTCAACCTGAGTGATTTGATGTTTTTTGTATGGATCCCAAACAGGTGAGGAGTATTCAACGACTGGGCGCACAAGTGATGTGTACGTAAGGTTTTTACGTACATGAATACATTGAGAATGAATGGGAATCGTGTTTATATTAGAAGTATAGAAACCCCAGCAAAAAAAAACCGGAAGCAATCTTGCACAAAAGTTTAACCAAGTTCACTTTAGCTGTGTTTGGCCAATAAAACATGAGACAATGTTCTGCACATTGCTTACACCAGAGACGTATATACTGGCTTTATACGTATCTGCTTACACACTCTATATAAATGTCTCAACCTCATAAATGTCAACAGCCTCTTGACTGGTGATTCTACATGTCACACTCTCTGGAAAAACAACACTTGCTGAAAAACATGAACCTAACTTTTGACGCCAACGTCGACACAAGGATGACTACATTAGCCTCCCTATTCTCCGAATACACGAACTAAAATAGAACTTAATGCGCACTCATAGACCCCCGTTCCCGAACCTTGGGTTGGTATTTTGTTCGACGACACTGTGGTTACAAGTTATACAAATACCGAGGGTTTATTTTAGTTTCACTTAGCAAAATTATAATTTTATTATTAAAAAGCATGTTACCTAAAACGGTTAACACGGCATACAAAATCGATTTGTGCTGAAGGGCATTGATAGACTCCATTAGCCGACGATGCTTAAATGTATTGTATGCTCGAACGCACACTGGTCTCTAACACAGGACATGATGGAGTTATGCAAATATGTATAGTGCGCTTATAATACTTAAACAATTCAAAGTCTTTTTTATGCGATAGAGTTGCATGGGGCTGGGCAAATGAACATCCATGATTCAGATCTATCAGGCTTAAACGGTGTTATCACATTTAAGCCTGATAGATCTTAAATTATATTATCATGGGAAAACCAATTTAATATGTTTAATGACGTAAATTAAATGTGATTTTCTGACAACCACTATTCCGTCTTTGCATATTGCAGAGTTATCTTCTCTTTTGAGCAGGTATTGATTTTTACGTCATTGGTTTTTTAGAGTAACGTCATCAATTTTTGTGAAACCGATGTAATTTTCTCACACAAACCAATGACGTAACAATCAATACCTGCTCACAAAAGAAGATAACTCTGCAATACGCAAAGACGGAATACTTAACGCTGTAGATATATGCATACCATCTAAATATGTGTAGATTAGACAACATGACAAACCCTGGACCAATAACATTGTCAGAAGACAAATCCGTAATAGAGATCGATAGAGGTCGATTAAAAAAGATACTTATAAATAATAATAATGATTATAATAGGATGAAATATAAGCAATCAAGAAATAAAACAAATGATTTGATAAAACGAGCAAAAGAACATTTCTACGAAAATATCGACTCTATCATAGTCAAAAATAAATCTTACCCCAAAACATACTGGAAATTGTTAAGACTTGTACTGAAATGAAGCAAAACTACTGATATATCACTACTTTTTGATGATAATGCTAACGAATTCACGAATGAAAATAAGCATAAATGTGAACTTCTTAATAACTACCTTTCTTCAATATCCAGTCATTCCGAAGTAGACCAAAACAAACCTATTCCCATTTAAGAAAAACAAACACTCTCTTTTGTCCGGCATTCATATTACACCTACTGAAATAGTTGATATTATTAACATACTAGATGTAAATAAGGCAACAGGGCCTGACGGAATCAGTCATCGTATGTTAAAACTTGTAGCAAATGAAATTGCCATTCCCCTTTCCCCCATTTTTAATCACTCCCTATTAAATGGTATATATTCCGATACATGGAAATTAGCAAACGTCATGCCGATCTTCAAGTCTGGCGACGCTCATAATGTTTCGAATTATAGACCGTTATTAAGCTGTGTTGGAATTGTTTTTAACGTGTAGTCTATACACATATTTACAACTTTTTTAACTCTAATAATCTTATTTACAAACTTCAGTCTGGATTCTTATCCAATCATTCTTGTACGCATCAACTCATTGAAATGTACCATTCTATTATGTTAGCATTAGAAAACCATGAAATTCAAAGGCCTTCGATCGAGTTTGGCATAGAGGGCTTATATACAAACTTCATCAACATTGTATTTCAGACAGTTTTCTTAATTGTATAACAAACTATCTTTTTGAGCGTAAGCAATCCGTTTTTATTCATGATTCACATTCTTCTGTAAAAAATATAAACGCCGGTGTTCCGCAAGGTTCAGTGTTAGGCCCTTTATTCTTCTTGATTTATATGAACGACATTTCAACCGAACTCTCCTCACTATCTCGTCTTTTTGCTGACGACACGTCGCTTTCCTACTCATCACCAAACCTAGAAAATATTGTAAGTGAAGTAAATAAAGACCTAAAAACTCTAGAGAAATGGCCTAAAAATTGGCTGATGTTCTTCAATCCTAAAAAAACCGAAATCATGATTGTTTCTAATACAAATCTACCCTTTCAACCCCAATTTATTTTTAACGATACTTCTATCCCTTTAACAGATAACCACAAATAGCTTGGAGTTATACTAAGTAACGACGGCAAATGGAATAAACATGTAGACGAACTTATAAAAAGGTGGCAAAATATATAGCAACCCTTCGTAAAATGAAATTGATACTCAATAGAAATAACCTTGACAAACTATATTTAACGTACATTCGACCCTTATTAGAGTATGCATGTGAAGTCTGGGACAATTGTGGAATAGCAAATTCATCAAAACTTGAAAATATTCAGACAGACGCTGCACGAATTGTTACAGGGCTACCCATATACACAAAAGTTGAACATATATTTAATGAAATTGGCTAGGTTCTACTAAGTCATAGAAGGAAAAACAGAAAATTATCCCTATTCTTTACAATTAGAAACGGTACAGCTCCAAATGATTTGTGTGACACCATACCAGATAGCATTGGGGATATTTCCCGTTATAACCTAAGAAATTACCAACATTTAAGACAACCTAACTTTAGGCTTGAAACTATGCGCAATTCTTTTTTCCCCATCAACTACAAAAATGTGGGATGACCTAGATATATCTATAAGGAATTCGGCTTTTCTCACTTTTCTGATGATTTAACTTTAAACTTGCTCCTATATGGCGATCCTAAATTCAGCAATGATGAAAATACCTCAATTGCAAAATCTGTCCAAAATTATATCAGCAAATGCAACCGGTTTGGCTGAATGTGATCATCTTTCTCTCTCTGTCACTCTATTTTCTCCGACTCTACCTGTGTTACTATCCTTTACTTCGTTTCTCTATCCGTCTTTTCTTCCTCTCTATTTTCTTTTTCCATATTAAACATAATTTATATATATTGCGTAAAGTACCTTATCAAGTTATTGTTGATATTCATGTATTTGAAGAAAAGGACTGTGATAAGTTGTGAAAACTTGTGTCCAATTCTTTTGTAAAGTTTTATTTGCAATAAAATATGTTTAAATATTAAAATCATCTATCAAGCATAATCACCTTAATGATTGTTAAAGATAAAGTTTAAAACTCCTAAATTTCCATATTTATTATATTCAAATTTGTCACCCTCATAAATATCAATAATTTTCTGCGGAAAAAAATCATAAGAAATTTAATTCGAAAATACAACTTTATGAATCATAATATTCAAGGCTAACTTAAGTGTTGTTCTTATTAAAATGGATTGTTTCAATAATTTTAAGGACGGTGCATCCTGCTGGCTAAATCATATGCGTTTTATCAAACAATGAACCATGCATGCTACTCATTGTTTTGGTTGAAATACGCCATATTACGATCACTACGGTCGGAGTCAGAATCATTGCTGTGTCCCAAAATCTCGCACTGTGACCTATATATGGAAACCGGTGTTTTG